GGAGGCCAAGGTGGGTGGATCACCTGAGATCAGGAGTTCAAGACCAGCCTGACCAACATGGAGAAACCCCGTATATACTAAAAATACAAAATTAGCCGGGTGTGGTGGCGCATGCCTGTAGTCCCAGCTATTCGGGAGGCTGAGGCAAGAGAATTACTTGAACCAGGGAGGCGGAGGTTGCAGTGAGCTGAGATCATGGCACTGCACTCTAGCCTGGGTGACAGAGCGAGACACCATCTCAAAAAAAAAAAAAAAAAAAGTTGCTTTAAACTTTTCGAGTTGTGACTGGTATTACGGCCCTTTAAAAATAATTTTTGCAAACTTAATTTTTCTCAAACCATTGGTGGTAATCAGCTTATTTTATATGGCACACAGATTTTTTAAAATTGTATTAATTATGTATTTATGTTACTGTCCATTGGGGACATAGAGCTAGTGCACAAAATGCTCTATTTTGTAATCTATAAATGTAATATTAACATTATTATATGTGCTCTATAAATGTAATATTAACATTATTTTCTTGACAATATTTAAATAAATGCAAAATAAAATAGCAAAAAAGGAATATATTTGAAATGTGTGTCTGTGTGTGTAGACAGATGGAAAAAAGCAATCCAAGTACAAAAGTACAAATGGTGCTTTGATAATGCAAAAATTACAAGATGGTTATGCTTCTCTAGGCTACAGGCGCCCGCCACCACGCCCACCACCATGCCCACTAACTTTTTGTATTTTTTTCAGTAGAGACAGCGTTTCACCGTGTTAGCCAGGATGGTCTCCATCTCCTGAACTCGTGATCCACCCGCCTCAGCCTCTCAAAGTGCTGGGATTACAGGCATGAGACGCCACGCCCGGCCTAAAGCAACTATTTTTTTAAAAATAAATGTTTGATCTTATAAATATGTCTAAAAGAGTAAAGTGGGCTTTTGTAAACCAGGGGCTATACAGTAATAAAAATAGTTGGCAAATTTGAATAGATAATATTCACATTGCTATATTGGTGGTTTAGGCTTGAACATATAAACCTTTGTGTATTTATAAATAAATTTGATATATGATATTAATATGAGATGCAAAACATAGACCAAAATTAAAAATTTTAATGGATGGTATAGAAACATGTATAGAAAAACACATGAAACATTTTTTCTCCACTATTCAGTTGATAGTTTTGAGTAATCTCTAGTGGTTATACTCCTTTAGATGAAATTTGTAAATCAACATCAGGATTTGGCTGCTCATGTGAATCAATCATTTCACATTACTTAAAGACCCTCTATTTATTTGCCTTAATCTCTTGCTTTATTACCCCCTTCACAGTTTCCAATTATTTATATACTTTAATTTTAGTTGTAGGGTAGAGTTAGAGCAAAACAATGGATAACGAAATGAAAGAACAACTGCTGAAGGATCAATAAGAGTAGGTTTAGGTATCCTAATTAGTGGTATTCAAGAATGTTAAACGTAGATTTATTTTTCTAGTAAATTTACAGTTTTCTTTAAAAAAGAAAGTAAATAGCTGAATTGGCAAAGACATACTTTGCAGACTGCGGACTCAGTATTAAGTTACTTTATGGTTGTTTACTATGAACTTAAGGACAAACAAGGGTCTTTCAATTTTTGCTTATGAAGACAAAGAGAAAACCTTCTGTTTTAAGTAGCATGTGGCCTATAGAAGCATCTTATTAAAATAACATTTTCCCTGTGGCCATATGTATTAAGAACCAGTTTACCCGGCCTAAAATCAATTAGTTCTGCCTATGGCAATGAAGGTCTGAGTTAAACATAATTCTCAGAGGTAGTTAGCATTCCATTGAAGGTTATTGCTTCTATCCAAGAGAGAAGTTACCCAATTTAATCAATTCTCTGAGTGTTAAACCTTAGAGAGTAAACAATTTAGATTATAAATAGTGCAATTATTAAGTATAACAAGACACTGTGTTTTAACTAGATAATTCATATAGTAATCAATGGCTAGCAAGAGTTCTAGTTGTTTAATATTTACTTGAACTTTTGATCAGAAGTCAACATAAAACAGTTTTATTTATTAACTTAATTCCATGACTCTAGACTTGTTCTCTGTCTCTCATATGCTCTTCTCATTTAGTCAGAGGGTTTTTTTTTTTTTTTTTTTTTTTCTAAAGAAGGAATTGAGGTAACTTTCCTGATTAAAATGTTCATCTTATCTTCCATGCTCTCTAGTGGAATCCAAATGCCTTTACAGGGCTTAGTAGGGTTTTCATTATCTGACTCCTGTTTACTTTCCTAGCCTCAGGTTTTATCTCAGTAACTCTCTTGGTTTTCTCTCCCTTTCTTCTACTTGAATTCTACACTCTGGTCATTCTACATTTTTTTTTCTTTTGTTTCTTCAAACACAGTTCAATCTCTCACTTCAGAGTGTTTATATAGGCTGTTGCCTCTGTTAGGAAATTTCTTCTGTTTTTGCCTCACTCATTTATTTCAATGTTCGGGTTTCAACATGGATACCAATACCACTGGACATCCTTCCCTCACTTGCCAAAACCAGATTAATATTCTTTCTGAATAGTCCTATAATGATCTATTTTTTTTTCCTGTCATAAGTCTTTCCATCCTGAACTTGCAGCTTTATTTAATACCATGTCTAAATCTTACACTGTTGTGTTCTAGAGGCTAGGTGCTAAGCAGGTGGTAGTTACTCAAGACTTGTTTATTGAGTAATTCAGTGATTAAATTCTTAGTTAATATAGAATTGTTTCTCAATTTCTTAGTTAACACAGAAGTGATTCATAACACACTCCCAACATTTGATCCACTTCCATCAGAAGCAATGGTTTATTTGTAGTGTTTTTTTGTTTCATTTTGTTTTTTTCTGAGATGGAGTCTTGCCCTGTCACCAGGCTGGAGTGCAATGGTGCAGTCTTGGCTCACTGCAATTTCTGCTTCTCAGGTTCAAGCGATTCTTCTGCCTCAGCCACCCAAGTAGCTGGGACTACAGGTGCATACCACCATGCCCAGCTAATTTTTGTATTTTTAGTAGAGACGGGGTTTCACCGTGTTCGCCAAGATGGTTTTGATCTCTTGACCTTGTGATCCACCTGCCTTGGCCTCCCAAAGTGCTGCGATTACAGGTGTGAGCCACTGTGCCCAGCCATTTTGTAGCGTTTTAATAGAAAGTAGGAGGCATAGTAAGGTCTCTATGAGTCTGAGGTAGATGAGGGGTGTGTGTGTGTGTGTCCAGCTGGAAAAGTACCCAGATGACTGTGATACATTTCTCTGTGCAATATGGCTTCTGGACTAGATTTAGTAATTTAAGAACAGTCATTTGAATTCTTCCAAAATCAGCTACCTGTTTTAATACAAATTTGAAAATCTTTATACTAAAAACTTAAGGAGAAAAAAAAGACCTCATTATTTGGATACTACGGAAAAAGAAGACAATGGCTAACCAATTACCTATCTATGCCTTCATTTTCTCATTCTATTCCTAATAGTATTATTTATCACTTGGCAATTCTTTTTTTTTTTTTTTTTTTTTTTTTTTTTTTTGAGACGGAGTCTCACTCTGTCGCCCGGGCTGGAGTGCAGTGGCCGGATCTCAGCTCACTGCAAGCTCCGCCTCCCGGGTTTACGCCATTCTCCTGCCTCAGCCTCCCAAGTAGCTGGGACTACAGGCGCCCGCCACCTGGCCCGGCTAGTTTTTTGTATTTTTTAGTAGAGACGGGGTTTCACCGTGTTAGCCAGGATGGTCTCGATCTCCTGACCTGGTGATCCGCCCGTCTCGGCCTCCCAAAGTGCTGGGATTACAGGCTTGAGCCACCGCGCCCGGCCATTTTGTGATATCTATTTTAATATTATTTAAAGTATCCTTTTTTTCTGAGAAGGCCTTTCCTTTTGTCTCTGTTCAAATTTCTTCATTTGTCCCGGATGTGTCTTAATTTTTGAAAAATAATTTTTAATTTAAATGTTTTCCATTCCATTATTTATTTTGTTTCTCAGATGACATTTAATTCCATATATATAAAAAAATATATATAAAATATTTGTTTTTCTGAACGTGTAATTTCCACTCATAAAATAAGTTTTTTGATGATATAGACCAATGCCTTATTTATAATTTTATATCATATAATGAATAGCAAACACTTTGAATAGAGCAGAAGATTTTTTGAATTACTGAGCTGACAAGATTTTTTTCAGAAATGGCGCAATTACAGTCTTTCTTATATAGAATCTACAAAAACAAAGAAAATATGTTTACAGTGCAGCTTAAAAATCTAAGGGGAAATGTCAAAATCGCTCTCAACTTAAGCTTTTATTTCACCTGCCAAATAGAGCTTAGGCATTTATTTTTAAAATGTAACTAACTCAAGTATAGAGCATTGGAATTAGGAGTTTTCTTTTTTTTTTTAAACCAGTGTTTTATTCATTCTAAGTCATTGTTTTGTTCCATTTCACAGTAATTAATTTATGTCAGTGATCTTATCAGATCACATGCAGGAGTCACAGCAAAAGTAATTTTGAAGTGAGCATGAGTAAGAGATTCAGAACAGATAAATGCTTACAGAAGTTTTTGTGATTTTTCTCTAACCTACAAATATCTTAAATCTTTCTGAGCTGATCCATTTGAGAATTTAAGAGCAGCAAGTTTAGATAAGCATCTTAGGAATTATGACTCTGTTTTCTCAACTGTGGCAGGTGTGCAGAACTTTATTTTGGCTTGCTTACAGAATCTTAATCCATGCAGGAAGTATGCCACTTTATCTGTCTCAGTCATTAGTTCTACTGACACTACTAAGTTGGGAGATCCAAATGCAATCACGGATAGCACACACCTGCTTAATGCTTAACAGCTCTTGTCATAGTGGTCATTTAAACACAAGGTGGTACTAAATATGTCCCTATTTTCTGGGCAAGTCATTGTCTGGCTGGCCGATTTCCCCACTGAGATGCTTATCGGACATGGCTTCTGCCCCCATCGTGTCCTGTGCACTTCTCCATTAAAGAGCAGTCATTCAGCTGTGAGTTCCCCGTTGCTTCAGCTGGACTCTCAAAGCACTCTGAACTTACAATACCCAGATGCTCCATGACTGGCTGATTTTATTTTCATTTTTCCAAGAATGGCCAAGTAGATATGTGTTAGACTTGGGTTGATGAAGGAGTCAAAACAAAACGGCCTGCTCCACAGTTAAAAACAGGGAAGTCTCACAATGAGTTGCCACAACTTTCTGAGCTGGGGAGAAACAAGGCTGATTTATTTTGAAGGCTTTCTTGCTCAGATCTCATTACAATGCTAATGGGGCTGCCCTGACTGCCCTCAGGTATGTATAAGAGAGTAAAGTACAGCCCAGGGAAAGGGTTGAGCAAAGCTGTCCTATAGAGATCAGGCCTTATCTATATTATCACCAGAAACAATGATAATCACAACCACCACCCCCAAAACAGGTATTTTCTACTTTTACTTATACCAACAACGCATTTCTACTCAGGTTGTGCATTTGCCTGGAGACTATTGCTAAAATGTTCTCAGCTCATTTTTTGATGTTAGTCATGTTATTATCCTGTAATGTTACAGATGTGATCACTCATTTAAAAAAAAAAAAGTTGAATTTTATTTTAATTTGCCCTTTGTCTTTATTTTCAAAGTTCCAGCATTTTAGCAGTCTAGGAAAATGCTTCAGGCTTTTATTTATTTATTTTTTCAGATTAAAACAATGTGTGCCTGTAGCATTCATCATTTAAGAAAATAGTGTTTTTCTCTTTCAGATCCCAATTTCCACTCATTATTAGAGAGCTGAATTCTAAATCAAAGATTGTGCAGAAGAGATGTGCAACCTGAATAAAACATTTCCAGAAGAGCCTGAATAATGGTCCTGAATAAAGGGACCTGCAATGTTCTTGAATTGTAATTGGAAAAAATTCAAGTGTGTGTACTCAGGAGCACATGTACTAAGAAGAGGTTAGTTATTATTATTCTTAGAGCTATTTAACATTTATGGGGCCCCAATAGTGTATTTAGTTCTGAATTGAACACAAGTGGTCTGATAAGTGATCTCCCATCTAAATTACCCATGTGGAGATTCATCTGTAATCATTCTGTGTGCACAGAGATGCAGCACTGACAAACAACCCGAGTAGGGGGATTGTGAATGCAGCAGTATAATCTAACTCGCACTCAAGTAAAAGAATTTGTTCAGGCAAATAGGACCTTTGAAAATATCACTGGCAATTTTTTTTTTTTTTTCTTTTACCTGATTTTTCTGTGCCTGGATATTCAGCAGTCAGTGAACACAGTTGTGCTCATACCAGGTCAATGAAAAACTGGAAAAAGAAGTAAAGGTTTAGGAGGGCTATGATGAGGTTTAATCTATGATCTCAAGGACTTTATACTCCACAGATAAGTAATAGAGTCTCTTTTATGACAACAATGTAAAGCAGGGATGGCTACTTTTGAGAGACTGTCTCTGATCCTTAATTCTGAAAAACATAATAGAAAAAAATACTGAAGTAATAAATACCATAGTACAAAGCAAATTATAAATATACAAGCACACTTCTATGATAATTCAATGTAAGATGGAATTGAGAAAGGGAGATGAGTGTGAATCATGGTAGAATCTACGGAAATAAATACATACTTCTATGTGTAAATCTCTGTCAGTTACTCTCTACACACAAAGGAAAAAAAACAAAACTACCTCCAAAGAAGAAACTAAACATCCACTGATAATAATAACACAGGGGACATTAAATTCTAAGCTAAGAAGCATAGACTTTGTTCTCTAGCACGGGGGAGCTGTTGAAAAATTTTGAGCAGGTGAGTGACATGTCCAGAATTGCATTTTATGAAGATTAACCTGATGGCATTTTCAGGATTGATTAGCGTGAAGCCTGTATTGTGACAGAGCAGATTGTAGTAATGCAAGTCTGAAATATGGTGGTGGCAATGAGAATAGAAAGGAAGAAATTGATTTGAGAGATCCATGACAGTGGAACTACGGGACTTGATTATTAAATATGGGACCTGAAGTAGAGAGATGTCAGAGATGACTCCAGATGCTTTGAGCCTGGATGAGAAATCCAGTATGGAAGAGAAAGAATGTCCTGACTGTCAGTGGTTGATTATTGTCTTCCAGATGCTGTGAATCACGTAATCGATTGCATTTTCAAAATCTTGGGTCCAAATCCATGTTACGCATCTACTAAGCATACCGTGTAATCCTGGCATCTGTTTTTTGCACAGTAATCCATTGCCAACCACAGGTAATACAGTTCAGAAAAGTATTGTGTGTGGTAAAACTATAGTTGACAAAAATGAGAGACTGCAAAAACATTCCATTTAAAATACTAAAAATTAAACCCCAGTAATAAAATTTCTAGCAAAAGTCCACTTCTAAAATAAAATAGATCAATCTGAGTTAAATACCTACTTTAAATTTATCCATCTCATCAAAACAAAAGCACTAGTTAGACACATCCATATACAAACACACACGTGGAACTTTTCTCTGGAATCACTTTTGTTTGTTCAGGTGATATTATAGAAGTGGTATATTCTGCTGAGGCAGATTCTCCTAGAAGTTTTGTATTATGTGGAGTGTATTTTTTTGTAAAATTTTCAAACTACATTTTACTGTCTTGAAATTTAATGTATCTTACACTTGCATTATCCATTGCATTTTTAGTAAGTCTCAGACAAATGCTTGTGTACTTGCTTGGCATGTTCACAAATTACCGAGGTCCTGAAGGACATGTATTTCTACTCTTCCATCTGCATGTTGAGATCATGGGATTTAACTTGATGCCTTATACCTGCAGAATCCCCTAGACTCTTTCAAGTGATCCACGGGAGTAGAGAAGTGAAATTTCAGTAGAGTCTTTTGCTTAAGGAGATTGAAGCTATTCTGTGTAAAAATATATGCATGCAGTTAGAACATTTTATGCAGCTATACATAACCATTTCATAGAAAAATAAAAACATGATTGTCAGAGTCACAAGTTGATAAGGCATTACAGTATTAACTTCATTTATGACCTCAAATGTTTTCCATCTTCATTTCATTTTCCTCTGTGTTTTTTTCTCTTCTTGTTAAAAAATTTATTTTATTTTATTGTGTAGTTTTTTTTTTTTTTTTTTTTTTTTTTTTTTGTTGTAATTCTCATATATCATTTAGCTGAGATTCTCAAACTGTAGAGGTCTCATAGAGGCAAAATAAAGCCAGAGAATAAATGTCACTATCTTCATGTAAAGTATAAAAGTATTGCTCCAACAATTTTTGAAGAGGTTCCAAAGCTTAAGTATTAATGTAAACATTTATTGTTGGTGCTATTGTTGTTGGGTAAAGGTAGGGTTCACAGGAATTGAAGTGATCAAAATTTCAAAGGGATGCCATGCCTGAAGCAGGCAGCTTTAGACTCTACCTATAATTTCAAAGGACTTGTTCACAAACTGATGCACAGGTTAGTAGTCAAGATTTCAGTTGTTGGAATCAGACAAATGTAGTTTGAGATCTGATTGCATTATTAACTAGCTGCAAAGCTGTGGCAATATATTTAATTTCTTTAAACCTTGGCTTCATTGTCTGTAAAATGGGAGAATAATAATATTTACTTCACAGCATTGCTACAAAGATGCAATAAAATATTATTATGTGTAAAATACTTAGCAAGGGCTTGTCATGTAATTAGTGGTGCATGTATAGTCTCCTGTGTTAATTCATAGCTTCTTTTGCATTTTATTATAGTAGTCACAACAGAAGGTACTTATTTGATCTTACTGATTTTAAAACACCTTCCTGGGAAACCTCAGGAGTTGAATAGCTATTTTCCTCTTCACTGCTGTAGAAACATTATGTACCTTCCTTTATTACCATGTACATTTCTGCATTATCATTGTGGTTTAATTATTTGGTTACTTTTGTTCCTCCAAGGAAACTGTGGGCTTCCTGAATACTTGCTCTGAAAAAGGATATGGATCTCTCAGTATACACTAAGTGATTTGTGTAAAATCCTAGCTGACTCTAAAGTTAAATATTTTAAATAGCAGTAGGACATGGAAATACTCTAATAATGTGATAAAGTTATTGTGTTGAATTTCAGTCATATTTAGGTAATAAATACTTTTTAATGAAAATGTAAAGCTAAATTACAGAAATGACTAATTCATGGTATACTCTGGAGAGAGCTAAACGTTTGGTATATTTGGGAACACCAATGGCAAGGGTGGATCACTTATGAGATTAAATTCCCATTTTAAGTGAGTTAAAAAAGTGTAAGCATTTCAAATAGATCATGATTTAAGCATTCATTTTTCTTTTTCTTTCTTTCTTTCTTTTTTTTTTTTTTTTTGAGACGGAGTCGCTCTGTCGCCCAGGCTGGAGTGCAGTGGCGCAATCTCGGCTCACTGCAAGCTCCGCCTCCCGGATTTACGCCATTCTCCTTCCTCAGCCTCCCAAGTAGCTGGGACTACAGGCGCCCGCCACCTTGCCCGGCTAGTTTTTTGTATTTTTGTAGAGACGGGGTTTCACTGTGTTAGCCAGGATGACCTTGTGTCCCGTCTCGGCCTCCCAAAGTGCTGAGATCACAGGCTTCAATTCACTATATTATTTCATGGGCAAAGTGCTGATATTATTCACATATTTTCACATTCCTGGATGGAACTAATTTATTATTTTGAGATTAGATACAAATGTATAGGAACAAAAATACTGCCTCATTAGAAATTTCCTCCTCAAATGCCTATAGATGCAGACCTTATTTACAATACAATAAATACCTGAAATAGTTTCAAAGTTTGAGGGCAATCTATTCATGTTTATCCCTGAGTTTTTTATTCTGTGATATATTAATATAAACATACATAGCCTTCTTATATACTTTTAACACTTTGCCCAATAAACTGTTTTTGTTTAAGTCCTCAAACCAGCTGGGAAGAATAAATAACTTAGGTAAAACTAAACACAATAAAACCGATACAGTACAAAGTAGACTTAATCAAATTAAAAAAATCTTGAGCCATCACACTAAGGTCAATTATTCTTAGAAAAATATATAGATAGAGATGATTATTTCAGTAATCTGGGGATAATGTTCACCTCATTTTAGCCTGAGTTATCTTGGCAAATTGAATTGTGTAGATTTTACTTTTTTCTGTAAATAACAGGGAGAGTGACCCCAAGTCCTCTGCTGTCATTTGACTGGTGACTTCCCTTGAACAGAGCATACATTGTGAAATATGTAGATGAAGACATTTCGTGTCACCACTTCTCTATTCTCTTTTCAAAAGGTCATTAGAGAAGAGATAGTGAATGCTTGGCTCTTTAAGTATAATGTGTTTAGAACACTTTAAGAATTTCCTATACATGGAAAGATTTGGAAGAGTCCTTCATTCATAGGTGAGTATGAGATTATTTGAAGGACTGCTAATTTCTAGGACTTGGAGTCTGGAAGCATAGTTTCTCAAAATATAGTGAATGAATTGCTGCTGGGACATAACGTTATTTTAGGTGGTAGATGAACAAACACCTTTAAACTTTAATAGCTGAGATTTTTAAAATTTTAAATATGAGGTGGAAAAATATAGCTAATTAAACACACTGGAGATTTAGTGAGATAACTGAAATTAATCTATAGATATATCTATTATTTTATATATATATACACACTCCCCATAGTAGCATCACCACCTCCCTTTACTCTTTGCCAAAGGTCATTGGAGAAGATAATGAGTCCTTGGCTCTTTAAGGGTAAGGTGTTTTGAACATTTTAAGAATTTCCTATACATGGAAAGATTTGGAACAGTCCTTCTTTCATAGGTACCATATGCTAATATTATAATATATTTATTGTATATAATATATACATGCACTATAATAGGTAGTGACTACAGCAAATTCCTGTGTTCTTTTTCATGATATATTAACACCTCTTACAAGGATATGGCAGCCAAAATTATGAAGAGATTATACTCATGGCTAAACTTTGAGAAATACTGCCCTTAAAGTGAAAGATTGGTTAGGTAAATGATATATTCTTCATTCAGTTCATATGTCTTCCCTCAGTCAGGGATACTGAGCATTTTGCTACTCGCAACACCAATGAACAAGACAGAGTGCATTAGGATAACATTTTCCAATGAAAAAACATAAGCACTATGTACTGCCTACTAATATATTATTTTGCTTATTTTGGTTTAAGGTAACACAAGAATTGTTTTTAAATTGTAAATTGTGCAGAAAGTTAATCAGTTTGAAGGAGGGATTTTTTATTTCTGGCTACAAAATTTGAGTATCCAGGGGATTACATGTGGGTAAATCTGTTTGCATGTTTATTCTTTCAATTGTATATTCAATAAATATTTATTAGGTTTCTATTTTTTCTTTCAGTTGACTATAAAACACTTATCATATACATGTTTTACAAAAATTATTGGCCTCATTTTTGTTGATACCAAAGAAAAGAGAGACGTCCACAATTGTTTGTTAGGTACAATTATCTGAACAGATTTGTGTGCTTTTTTTGTCATAAGAATAGAAAACAGTGTTTTGCAAGTTGTGGGTCATGCACCATCTGGAGGAAAGTCTCCTGAGATTCTTCCCAATATTCAAGTTCTCTTGGCGGGGTCTGGAAGTCTACAATTTTAACTAAATTTTAGGTGATTTTTATTCATACTTGAAAGTTTAGGAGCCACTAAGAAAGAGAGTGGGTAGTCTACCCTTTGTGCAGATTTCCACATGTAAATGGATGTTAAACATTTCCTTAAATAATTGTTAAGTATGGTTCTACAATTTGAGGATTAGCTGATTGTTTTTATTCTTTCATTCTCAACTCCTTCAGCTCCTGCCCAAGGCATACACACATAGGTCTCTAACACTTTAAGCTAAAACGGCTTTGAAAAATGTGGATTCTTCTACTATTATGTCCTTATATAAACTTGAATAACACCCAAATGCAATGTTTTAATTTCGCGTGATTTTCAAAATGTTTAGTTAAATAAACAACACACACATGTGCGCATGCACACACACACACACACACACACTCTAAATATGGAAGCTGAAAAACAAAATATCTTCACAGGATACTACAGATTGAATATCTGATTGTGCTTCAAGATATTTTCATTGATTCATTTGATACATTTTCTGTTGAGCTGATAAAAAATTATCAGAACAATCGTTGGTTTTAGGATAATTTTATTGCTACTTCTAGCTGTACCCTGGCAAGGAAAAAAAAATAAGAAAAATGTAAACACATCTTGTTCTAATGCAGAGATGAATAGCACTGAAAGAGTCCCAGTGTGGCACTTCTGGCTTTGGTCAACAAGGCTGAAAAGCAACCTGGGACAAACAAGGGAAAATGGAGGGGAAATGTTCCCATAAATTCAAAATTAAGTTCCTTCTTCAATTTCCGTGAAACAAACTCCCTGTGGTGAACATCTGGCAGGCCATTAACTTTTGTTACTTTATTTTATTAAAAAATCTTAAGGTGAGAAAAATTTCTCTGTTTGGAGACTTGATTTAGCATTCAGGCTACAATTCTAGGCCATTGTGTTGTCATTTGCATGGTACCCATGATCCATAGGGCATATCACACTTACAGCTTCTACTGTTTTCCATCAAAGATTGTGGTTATTTGTCATTCTTTAAAAGTCATTAATTCTGAGTTATTTTTTAAATATATAAATCAGCTGATTGGTGGTCCATATCTGCTGGAAGAAAAGTGATTGCAAGATTCTTCATACTTTGTAGGCATTTTCTTACTTGCATTTTTTCACTGCATTATTTTCTACAGGAGTTTGAACATTAAAACTATTTACATAGAACTTTTTCAATGATCCATCAGAAGGATGTGAACTGTTGATTGTACCATTTTCTTTATTTGCACAGCTGCTATAACCTTCAATCTAAGTTATTTTTTTACTCTCTTTCTCTTTTCTTTCTCTTTTTTTTCTTTTGTGAGCTAATTGTCACTTTCGTAAGTAAATGTTCGTATTCCACCACCAGAACTATTCTTGCACATTACCTTTAAGCCATTGCAATTGCTTATTAGTCAGGTTATTTTCTGTGAAAAGTTCTGAGTAAATGTTAAACAAATGAAAATTATTTACTTTTTCTTGAGTATAATGTCATTTATGAACTTGCATCTTTAAATTTCCTTGATTATATGTGTGCATCTATCTGTCTATCTAATCTCATCTGTCTTTCTTATTTAGCATATGAGGTGTGTTAGTCTGTTCTCATGCTGCTAATAAATACATACCCAAGACTGGAAAATTTATAAAGGATTGAGGTTTAATGGACTCACAGTTCCACATGGTTGGGGAGACCTCACAGTCATGGCAGAAGATAAAGGAAGAGCAAAGGGACACCTTACATGGCGGCAGGCAAGAGAGTGTGTGCAGGGGACCTCCCATTTATAAAACCATAAGATCTCATGAGACTTATTCACTATCATGAGAGCAGCATGGGAAAGACCCACTCCCATGACTCAATTACCTCCCACTGAATCCCTCCCATGACACATGGGAATTATGGGAGCTACAATTCAAGATGAGATTTGGGTGGGGACACAGCTAAACCATATCATGAGGTTTAAATAAAGCAGTTGTAAGTTAAAAATGTACTCAATTTTATGAATAAATCTAATAAGTATTTTCCCCCTACAGCAATACACAAGTATAGTTTCTACTTATTATAATTGCCTTGCCCCTGGACAGTGATACAGTACTTATTGCAAGCTGCTAACTGATCCTTAATCTTTTATGAGTAAAAACATACACATTTTCTTCTTCTTTTGGCTTTTTGTTGAATGAAATGCAGAAAAACTTCAATACTGTTTTCTGAAACAATTATAATAGCTAGTTTTTAGTTTATAAAACAGATTACATTATTAATTTCAAAATGTAAGAGATTAAGTATAAGTAGCTGCATTTTGTGTTTTGTTTGTGGATTCTAATATGATACATAGTGAATTACATTAAAATATACAGAAACGGGCTTATTTATATTTTTCCCCAATAGTCTCAGCTTAACTATATCTACATCTATACCTATCAATGTATAAAATGCTATGCTGTTTGCAGAATGAATTTTATAGAACCCCTTTGAACTTGGCAGTAGCTCCAGAAATTGAGTCTGGAATGGTATGATTATGGAAATGAGAAATCAGCAGGACAGATAGCATTTTGAAAACGGAAGAGTGAGGTTCAGATTTCAAAGATGTTTGTAACAGGTTGTATAAAGAGTAAGTGCAAAGTTCTATGATTCTAAATATGCTGCTCTTTCTAAAATGGTGAGTTTTACTTTTTAAAAATATTTTTAAATTTCTTTGAGGTATTTTAAAACACAACTAAAACAATTTTATATGTGTATTTGAACCTCATATCTTCTCAAGAAAAATAGGAGATTCAGAAAGAATTTCACTTTTGTATTGCTTTTTAATTATATCTGTAACATAGGAATACTTTATAAGCTATTCCAAAACCCAGATGTATATAGAATTAAAATATGAAAGCCCACTTTTAGGCTCTCAATAGCAAATTCTATTTCCTTCTGCCAACATAACTGCAATTTTCTTATCTATTTACCGGTATTTAATTTTCTTTTTTCACTTAAAATATATCTCGGAGTTCTTTTCCCACAATTTATTTTGTTCTTTTTAATTAATTCATAGTTTTCCATAGTAGAGATATGATATAATTTTGAGACGGGAGAGTTCCCTGGCCTTCATTCCAGGACATGCAACAGGTGTGTGGCTCTCTGTTCAGCCGTTGCGAGCTCAAACCCTTTATGGGAGGGGAAGCATGAAGACAGGGAAGTGCAGGAGCCAGGATGAATGGTCTGGGCTCCAACCCCACGGCAGTGTCTAGGGGTGGGTGTCTGTGACTCCTGAAGGCCAAGTGGGCATGTGTTACAACGCATTCTCTCAGCTTTGCCATCCACAGACAGCTTGTGTTAACCAGCTCAGTGTCCTCTCCGTACCCAGGTCCTTGTCCGGCGTCCAGGAAGAATCAGGTCACACACAGGCTTGAAGGATGAATGCAGAGGTTTTATTGAGTGGTAGAAGTGTCTCTCAGCAGGGTGGATGGGAAGCTGGAAAGGGAATGGGTGGGAAGATCGTCTTCCCCTGGAGTTTGACTGCCAAGAGGCCGATCTCCTCTCCATTTGTCCCCAGCTGAACTCCTCTCGGCTTACAGATGCTCCTTTTTTCTCCTTCTCTGCCACGCTGTTCTGCCATTCTTCTGCTTGCCTTCTCCTGGAGCCTGGGGCTTGGGGTTTATATGGGTATAGGACAGGGGGCATGGCAGACCAAAAGGCAACTTTTTGAGCGCTAAAACAGAAATGCCTGTTCTCACTTAGGGCTGTAGTTTCCAGACTTGAGGTTGGAGCAGC